ATAAATTTCCCAACAAAGCAATATAAACAAAAAAAAAACGTGTTTTATGTAGATCATCAACCAATTAAATTAATCAGCCTCATGATTTTTGTCAGAAGAAAATTTACAACTAAACGGTTTAAGTCCTGATGCATCGATTATCGTTATTATCAATTTTGATATGAAATTTGATTATAAACACCACCGTCGATATAAAGCCAATCATCAATTATAATCAATTAATTGTTTGCCGATCATCATCAGGCTTCAAAATTTCCTGATGTTCACCGATTAAATTCGATGAATATTCAATGATAGATTGGATAACGATAGTATATTTCAAATACATTTAATTGTTTACGAATAAACTCCATATCGATATGTCCGGTAGGTTAATAATAATCATTTATATCCACGTCCCAATAATTTAGCACTTATGCGAATGAAAAGGAAGCAGCATTAAAAAAAAGTTCCTTTATTAATAGGTAAGTATAGAAAAACATTTGTTTAATGTATTTAGAATAAGCTATTATATTTGATGAATATTTGCTTTTTAACAATGCAGGATGGAAGTTCTCATTGAATAAGTCAAGTTAGTCATCATTATACGCGTAGAATTGGAATTTGAAAAGGATAAACAGAGGGCATCAATTTATATTATAAAGAAATAGAATTAATACTGTTACAAAAATAGGAATTGGAATTGAAAAAAATAAACATGAGACATTATTTTTTTAAAAAAAAAATCTGCCAAGATCTTAGAGATTGTTATAAAAAAGGAATTGGAGTCGAAAGGATGAATATAATGCATTCGTTTATTATTAAAAATCAGTAGAGATGGGAAACACTGATGGAAGATCTCAAATGAGAAATGCTGGTGGAAAATGTAATATTGGGTGTTACAGTATCAAGACGGAATTGGAGTTGTAATCAAAAATTGGCAGAGGTATAATATACGATATTGAATATTGTTGCGGGAATTTCATATAATTAACATTTATCCGTGATAAATGATCTATTATTTTATAAATAACATTCACGATGCACTCATAACAATAAACTTGAATTCCCACATTACCTTGCAAGTTAATACAACGAACGAGAAGTTTTAGAAGTAGATCTGTTAAATCTTTATTGCAATGGTCAAAAGGTTCTTGTCCAGTGAATATCATTAAATAATAACACCGAAACTATAAGTATCGGAATTTGTGCAAGTAACCCTTCAGCCTAATAACACTTCTAGGACATGTCCATAAATACTGTCTTTATGCTTCTTTTTAGACGATCCAACTGTTGATCTTGCGAAATCTGTTCTTAAAAACTTACTAGACTTCCATTATCGGAACATTGGTATTAAGTCAATCCACATATAGCAAGCTTACCAATAGCTAATTTACATTTGATATAGTTAACTTGTAAATTATATAATGAATTAGTCCAACGTGTTTAATAAGTATGCGATAATGACTATTAAACTACAAAACTATGTACATACCTTCTGCAACAACAGGAACATAACTAATAAGGCGGTAATGATGTCAGAGCTATTAACGTATCCTAGTATTTAATAATAAAGAAAAAGTTAGTTACAACAAAAACGTAATTTGACTTTGCTTGTGAATTCAGGAATTCAAAGTCACGTACACGTACAGTACATGGCCAATTAGATCGCCTAATCCAAATAAAAATTTTTATTATTACTTGACTATTCTATTAAAAGGATTTTCATCTAATTGACCAGTAAAGGTATCACGACAGGGTGAAACCCGTGAAAACCGCGCTGTGAATTAGATCACATGAGGGTGAAATTCGCTTTTGTGATCTATGTAGCGGATTTTACTAATTTACAACGCGAGTTTCACCTATACATGGGTGCCTAAATTCCCCATCTTAATAAAAAGTAATTACGGCATTTAGGCAGCCGAAATTAGCCTTATATAGTGCCGAAATTAATTTTCATATTTGCCGAAATTATTGCCGAAATTTTTTGAACTCTTTTCATCAAAATACATCGTATAGTATAGTTATTTCGAAGGGCTTCATATAAACATTTAGCAATGCTGCAATGTTTGCCGAAAATACGATTTTTCAAAAATAATTTAGGCACCATGTATAGTTTCACCCAGTCCTATTATATTTTGTAAATGCGAGCCGGGCTGGGCCAAAAAATTGATATACAGTCTGCTCTCGTTATATTGATCGGGCTATCGATTATAAATCCATTATAATAAATATCCACTATAACGCTATATAGTATAATACACTATAGTGAGAGTTCCGATATAAAGGAGTCCATGATAATGAGGGTAGACTGTAACATTAAAAACATATATTAAAATGAATTTATTTAGTAGTCACCGGAGGTGAAATGTTTTTAATTATTATATTTCGTGTAAAATATTAAAAAAAAAAAAAAAAAAAAAAAAACAACAGATAGCTGTGCCCAAATGACAGATGACTAGTCATTTCAAGGCCCAAATAACTTTAGAAGGTCATTTACCAATCATATTTGAGCCACATGACCTGAATGCTTAATTATGCACGTGATCAGATTTATAAATAAAGCGCAGGATTTAAAGTGTTAAAACCTTGTTAAAGGTTAGATTAGGGTTAGGGAAGGACCTAATAATATATACTAATTTCGCAAGGAATTTTTTTTTATTAGAGCATCGAAGACGGTTTCATATACGAAAATTTGGATTTTTTTGAAGAAATGCGAATTTCACGTTACACTGATCTTGTGATTTAATTGGTCACCATCACGTGCGAAGAAATCGAGAATATCTCAGAATTGTATCTAATTACCCACCTTCTATGCTCTAAGTAAAAACTTTTCTTGCATGATATTACAGTATTACTCTTAGAACAGCCTTCATAACTCTATAAAATGAATTTCAATCAAACCAAAATTTTAAACAAATATTGAGTTTTTCGGAGTTATTACCTAAGCCCTGTCAATCTGTGTATTAAAACATGTCCTATAACTGTGAAAGAAATCAGATTTAAATCCGAATGTATAATATGATTTCAAACTTTACTAAGTACATTAAGAACACTAGCTTTGACCACTGGATAAATGCAGTGAATTGACATGAAAATTATTCTATTTTGTTTTTGTTTTTTTTTAGCTATAGTAGTGCTTTTTAGTGCTTTTTTTTTTTTATTAAATATATAGATGCACTTTTTTTTTAAACAGATAACATTAATAACATTAATTATTATAAATATATTGTTTAAATACACTTATTCTGATTCATATAATAATGGTGATCATAAATAATTAAATATTCAATATCCTGTGATAACCGCTAAAATTTTTCTAGACCGTTAATATCTATTGTTCAGCGGGTGTAGCATCTAAATAGCTGTATTCATCAACTTGTTCAGGAACATAATCCATATCAAAACGTTGCGATGTGGGATTAACAATTGCTGAAAACCGATGCGATTTTTTATGATGTTCTAAAACAAAAAAATTAAAAAGTAGAAAGGAATTAAAAATATAGTGTGCATATTCATAATAAGATTTGTGTTCAATCGCAACAATTAAAAACCATACTTACCATTTTCAAATTTTCCTTCAATCATACAATCTTCACAAAGATCCACTTCTCGACTTTCATCGCAATTCATACAAAGAAAACGCGTACCAAGTATTGGATCCATATGACAACCATCACACTTAAGAAAAGGGATGGCATTTATTATAAAGTATATCAGCAAATTGAATACGTTATAGATACTTACACAGTATCCATTATGTACGGCACCACCAGCGTAATTGTACGACTAGACATATATAGACATAGATATATATTTATGAAATTCAAAATATATCAACAAACACAAATTCATTAATTTGACTAACTTTGGGTTCATTGCCTATCTTGTCCATTAATAACATTACTTCCTTAATGACAGTTTCATCATCATCATCAGGCATATATAAAGTGGGTGGAGGTTGTGCTTCCATATAAGCTATTCCAGATACACTACAAATGTGCATAATTACAGAAAGTCAGTAATTATAGTCGTTATTCTGTTCATGAGATCATCAAAAATTACCGTGGCCGTCGAGGTCGTTTTTCTGGAGGAAGCTTGGATGAATCTGACTTGGATGTTCTGCCCGATTTTTTATCCTTTGTTAATGTATTTTTTGACAAAGATGTCGGTGTCGCAGACTGGGAATTTGTTTTATTTTTTTTTAGTAACTCATTTATATATCAGCTAACGAATAATTTAATTTTCAATAAATTCTATTTATATAATAATTACTGGACACTAGGTATCCGTCCAGGAACAGGTAATCCATATTTTGCCAATTTTGCAAAATATTTTTGTACCCGGCTGGTTACCTGAATATTTATGAATAAATTCAATTATGATTGATTTGCAATAAAATGCCGTTGACACCTATCGCACTCGTCATAGTTCCAAAAATATTTTTACCTGCTTTGGAGTTCTAGCCTTCAAGCAGTTTGCAATCTTTTTGAATCTATGCGACCGAACTCCTCTTCTGGGTATTTAGCACAAGCGTTCCAATTGACGCTTTTTGAATGTGCAAGATTTATTATGTAAACTGATAAATTTGTACCAATCATGTTTTATGAAACATGTCATTTGCGGTAACGCATACCTGCTCCTCATCTCATCATGACGCATGTTTCGATGAATAACTATTCTGCTTATTAAATTTCTTATATACACACGCGTATGTACTTACAACAATATTTGATCACGTGCAAATAAATTTGACATATTCAATAATTACCTTTTCTAAATTATTCTTCTGATCGGTATGTGTATGTATCGAATTAATCTGATTACTTGAATAATTCGTGTTTTTGGTAATTGTATCTGGCCTATCAATAAATGCAATAAATGGATTATTGGAAACAGCATGATTTTAAGAAATACAGTTAGACCCTTAAATAACCCCTTAAATGCACGTTCTCCCTATATGCATATCACCAACTAGTATAAAGCTTATAAATTTATTTCCCTAAATGCACGTTTATACATATTGTTTCATCGCTGTGCATTTAGAGAAGTCTGACTGTATAAGCAAAAAGAATGCATAAACATATAGTAATTTATGAATAATGACGAAACGAACCTTGTAGAACAATTTGAATTTAAACACTGTGCTTTATTCGACGTAGTCCGAGCTGGCATTTGTTTTCTTTTTAAGCTCAACGGCGTTGACCCTTGCGCATTTATATATGCTTCCGACGGAAGTGTGAATGTACTTTCGTCATCGCTACTTTGATCAATTCTTTTTTTCTTAGAACGCGTTGATTTTATCGCGTTTGGAGGAACTTTGAAACCAAGTTCTTGAGCTTTTTGGTGAACAAATTCAACAATGTCCGGTGAGGACTCTCGACCAGATCGTGACCTATCACTTGAAGATGGGTTCACCCGCTCCTTTGATCGCGTATTAGAAAGTCAGCAGAAGAAACGATTGGTTATTAGATTTAAACAAATGATGAATGGGAATTAACCTTGGAACTTTTCATTACTTCTTGATCTAAAAAAGAATTAATCCTGTAAAATTTGATCAAGGTCAACAATATAACTCCAATTTTGATGTATTACCTATACGCGCTTTGTATTTTGAAGGTGTGGTATGATACTTGCTCCAATCAATTGTTGGTGCACCAAATATGAATTGCCTTTTAGGAACCTTTTCGTTAGTCTGTAAAACAAGTATGAAAGAAATAAATTGCCGCGTTTAATAAGGTAACAAACTTATGGGTCAGACGGTTACTAACCCCATTGCGCAAATCTTCGACAAATTGAATTGGGTCCTTTATGGCCTTTTCCTTCATTGATTTCAATTTGCAAATATCTTCTTTTACTTGTTGCAATTGGAATTTTAAAACATTAACAGCCCTCGAAACCATTTCATAGCTAAAAACAGGTTACCGAAAAGGTATCAATATTGAATAGAAGAATCATAACAAAAAGATTTAAATTTATAAAAAAAGACTTACTCTTCATTATCTTTTAACAATTTTTCTTCCGAATTATGTGAGTCGGTAGTTTCTTCCATATCGTTGATATTCATTGCACGTTCTTTATTATCCTCTTTATCTTCCTGCTGCGGTACTTCGTGTTGGGTAGTGTGTTGTGAAGGTGAACATTGGTCCAAAGTATGATCCTCCAAAACTTTAAAAGTTTGGTTTTGCACATTTTCTTTTTGTGGAACTTCAAGCAATTCTTCAGGTTGTAATGATTCGCGAGAATTTTGACATGGCTCTTGGTTTTGTTGAACATGCTGCGGCTGCTCCTCTTGACTTAAAAAATATTTTACTGTTTCTTTAGTCGTATGATTAGTGTGTTCTCCGGTATGGAACAAGCTTGCATCATTAGAAGACGTATCAAAAGCGATTGGAGCCATTTATTAACGAAAATAAGTGGTTTAAAAAAAAAGGACTTGGGTGTTAGAAATTGAACAAACAGATCTTAAAAACCGATAAAAAAATTTTTTTTTGTCATACAGAACA